TTGGCTCTGTTGGGGCTGGAGGGATGGCTCAGTGGTTAAGAGCACTGCTGCTCTTGCAGAAGACCTGAGTTCAATTCCCAGCACTCACATGGCAGCTAACAACTGTTCATAATTCTAGTTCCAGGGGATCCAATGCCTTTGAAGGCACTGCATGACATGGGTGCACTTATATACATGCAGGCAATACATTCATACACACAAAAATAAAAATAATAAAAATATTAATAAATAAAAAATAATTTTGGCCATCTCGATGATGCCAAGGCTGACATACAGTAAACTGGGTGAGTACATGGATTCCGCAGCCAGAGAAATCTGGATTCAAATTCTACCTCTGCCAGTGACTAGCTATGTGATCTTGGGCAAGTTGCTTAGCTTCTCTGTGCTTTCATTTCTCCAGTTATAAAATCAGGGTGGTAGCAGTGCCTTCTTCCACAGTTGCTGTGTGCACCATGAAGCGGTGCTGCTAAGTCCTGAATCTGATCCAGTGCTCACCAGTTAATAACCATACAAAGTGGATCCTTGGGCTGGTAAGATGTCTAAGTGGGTAATGGTGCTTGCCATGAATCCTGACAACTTGAGTTTGATCCCCAGAACCCACAGGGTAGAAGGAGAGGGCCAACTCCTATAAACTGTTGTCTGAGCCTTCCACAAAATAGATTAAATAAATAAATATAATTCTTTTAGAAAAGAACATTTACCACAACAGGTTCCAGACTTGCTGTCCTGGCCCCTAGTATTCCTTCCTTGAGAAATGAGACTCGGCTCAGGAGGTCACAGGATGCTATTTAGAGATCTGAGCAAGTCCAGGCACAGATGGAGTTTAAATATGGAAGCAGGATCTGACAGTGGAAGGACGGATCCCCAGACGCTCCTACCTGTGTTCCGGTAGCGCTGTCCCCAGCAGCCCTGTTTATAAGGCACAGAGCTGGGAAAAGAGGAGTGCAAAGGGGATGGAGGTTTTTCCCAGCAGTGGAATGTGAACAGACCAGGGCTCAATGGCAAGCTGGAGGAAATTTCCCCAGCCTTCACCAGGGCAAGCCATGGAAGGACGTGCAGAGTGGAGAGTGGTCAAGGTTCCCAGTCTCAGCTGGCTCTGCTTCTCCTCTGCCTCCACCCAGGGAAACATGACAGTGTCTGGACATGTTACTGGTGGTCACAGCTACAGGAGAGGCATTGGGTTACTGGCATCGGATCAGTAGAGACCAGAGATGCTACAAGCATCCAGCCATCACAGCACAGCTCCTCCCCAGACAGTCATCAGGGTCAGAGCTCCTACAGTGGGAATCACTGTTCATATGAAGCTTCAGGACATGTTAAATAAGTGTTCTTTAAGGGTAGGCACTTTTAAAAGCAGAGTACAAGGAGATCCATTTACTGGACTGTTCTATGAGCACAAGACATTAGGGGTTTACCCTCAGTGTTGGATGTTCCAAGAGTAAATGAAAGAAAAGAAAGAATGACAGAAATGTCAAACTCAGGACCCATTATTTCGGGGTGGGGCAGGGGTGAAGACTCTCTTTCATGTGCCTTAAATAGTTCATAACAAAAATTCCCATTTGGGGAAAGAGCAAAACAGTTATTGTTTTTTTCTAGTGCTGGTGATAGAACCCAGGGCCTTACACACACTAGGCAAGCACTCTGTTACTGAGCTACATACACAGCATTCCTTGTTTGTTTTGAGACAGGGTCTCATGTAGCCCAGGCTAACCTTGAACTCATTATGTAGCTAAGGATGATCTTGAACTTCTGATGTTCTTGCCTCTCTACCTTTCCAGTCATAGGTGTGCACAACCACACCCAGTTTATGTGCTGCTGGGGATGGAACCCGGGATTCATGCTCGCTAAGTAAGCGCTTTATCCACTGACCTATATCTCCAGCTCTGCCCAAGAGAAAGAAAGAAAAACTGGACAAAAGTCAGCCAGCATTGGGGGAAAGGTAAACAAAGCTGTGTGTGTGTGTTTGTGTGTGCATGAACAAAAGGGTGTGTACATGTAATAAGTGACTTTGTGTTTGGCCCTGGGTATAGATGTGTGTCCATGTGATCTATGTGGCCCCTGAGCATGCATGGGTCCATATGGTTGTCTGATGCAGGTGAGTGCATGTGTGAGCATGTATGCATATGAGTATGTACATGTATGTGCATGTGTATGAACATGTGGTGTTTGCATCTCAGTGTACTTGACTGTGTATAACTAGTCATTCATGGAAATATGAGTGGATGAGAGACTGCTACGTACACAGGTGTGCACAGTCCTCCAGTGCCCGAGCTTGAGCGTGCATGCGCTTGCACACACACATCTAATGGGTCTCAAGTCTGTGTTTTGTGGTCATGTGCACAGTCTATACCCTATTAAAGACACTCCCCCTTTACATCCACTTCTCCCACTCCTCCTCCTCTCTGTCCTTTGTCCAAGGGTGCTGGCTGAGGCCCACCACCTCTGCAGCCCCCTGCAGTCTGGCTTTGAGCCTGCCCAGCAGGTGGGAGGCACCTTGGGGCAGGTTCTTAGCAGGCGAGAATCCAGCCTCAGCCCCCACTGAGCCCCATTGAGGAAGGAATTACCCCTGGCTCTTCCCTAAACTCCCCAACACACCCTCCCCCACCTACCTCCCAAAAGTTCAGTGCTGCTAGTCACATTCCTGATTGCTGGGTTCAGAACTGGGGGAGACAGCTGATTTGGGGGGGGGGGAGTTGGACAACCTCTCCTGGCCTCAATTTTCTCTCTCAGAAAAAAACCACACATAGCTGAAGGGTCAGTGGGCAGAACTGGATTGCTATCCTGGTTAATAAGATCACCTCCTCAATGATGGAATGCTACCCTACCCTCGTTAATATGACCACCTCCTCAGTGATCCATATTAGTTTTAGACCCATTCACATGTGCTGAAAACCAGGAGATGACAAAAAGGTCCTTTCTCTTTCCTGGGCAGACTCTGGTAGAAGGACAGCAAAAGCTGGTTCATATACAGGTGGAGAGTACACCAGCAGACCGACAGCTGTGGCTTAAAAACCTTTCTGCAGGTTGACTCACCCAATAGTCTGTATTCTTTTCCATGGCATTTGAGGCCCTGTATGGCTGGGTCAGGGTGGGCACCAACTGCAGGCGTGTCACATGGGTGCAGGTTTGTGAGGACAGGAGAGCGTGAGGATGTGAGATGTGGAGGCAGGGCCCTTTACAAGAGACACCATGGCTTGTGGAAGTGTTCCACCTTGCTGCTTGAGTGCCCAGAGCTGTGGAAGCCTTGAAGCTGGTGGATACTTTTTGGCCTTGTTTATATTTGACTCTGTTCTTCCACAGGAAAAGGTTTCATTCCTGCCGGTCCCACTGTATATGTGCCCCATCAACTAGCCTACCTCCAACTATTTCCCCCCATTCCATCCATACCCATTCATTCACCCTGTCATTTACCCACCTGCACATTACACTCACCCATGCAACATATGGAACATCTACCCATTCATCAGTCCATCTAACCATGTGCTCAGCTATCCACCCATCCATCCACCTATCCACCCACAGATCCACTCTGCATCCATTCATCCATTTACTCACATATCCACCCATCTACCCATCCACTCATCTACTCATCCACCCATCCATCCATCCATCCATACACCCACACATCCACTCTGCATCCATTCATCCATTTACTCACATATCCACCCATCTACCCATCCACTCATCTACTCATCCACCCATCCATCCATCCATCCATACACCCACACATCCACTCTGCATCCATTCATCCATTTACTCACACATCTACCCATCTACCCATCCACCCATCCACCCACCTACCCATCCATTCATCTATCCATCCATCCATCCATCCATCCATCCAGCCAGCCAGCCAGCCAGCTGTCATCTTCCAATGACTTCCTCTCTATCCAATCAGGCATGTACTCATATACACACCAATTCATACTCTCATCTATCCACGTATCTATGCAGCTATCCACCAATCTACCCACCCATGTATCCACCACACATGTATCCATCCATTCACCCATGTATCCATCTGTCTGTCTGTCCATCTGTCCATTCATCCATCTACCATCTATCAATACCTTTCTTTCCACCCATTCATGTATCTATCCACATATCCACCAATCCATACTCCCACCTATACTCACATCCATTCATCCATCCATCCATTCACTCATCCATCCCCTGACACCTGCTATTGGCTCCTTTACCTACTTGTGACTCTATTCACTCATCTCCAGTTCTCCACATCAACTGTAGCTACTCTGACCCGTGTACCTGCTACCCACTCCTTTAGCCATGTATCAGCATCCATCCTCCCATCCAGCACCTGCCCATCTATCTACTCATTCACACATCCACTCAATTACTACTTAGCCTCAGACTACCATCCACCCATCTATTTAACCACCCAGTTAGTCATCCTCCTAGTACTCAACAGATCACCTTCTTCTCACCCACTAATCCCCTCTACACTTCTTGAGCACAGACTCAGCCCTTGTGAGTGAGACCCCAGGGGCTGGGGGCTTGCACTCCATGGCAGGACTCAACGTCACCCCACAATGAGGTCTGCAGGAGTGGAGGGTGGTAGATGTGGGGCAGTAATTCAAATACAGTCTCCTCCAGGGTTCCAAAATCAGCCCTAGAGTGGTGGGAAATGGGAGACAGGGATGGAAATCTGGGGAAAGGGGTGGAGAAGAGAGAGTAATGAACAAGCTGCGGAGGAGGAGGAGGAGGGAGGAGGGGGGAGGAGGAAGAAGAGAGACAGGGAGAGGAGGAGAGGGAGGAGGAGAGGGAGGAGGAGAGGGAGAGGAGGAAGAGGAGAGTCAGGGAGAGGAGGAGAAGGAGGAGAGGGAGAGGAGGAAGAGGAGAGTCAGGGAGAGGAGGAGAGGGAGGGAGGGGGAGAAATGAGAGAGGGAGAGAAAGAATGGAAGGAGGAGAGGAAGAGGCAGAGGAGGAATGGGGAGGAGGAGAGGGAGGAGGAGGGATGACCAATAGAGTCACATACTCACCTAGGCTGCAGAGGGTCCCTAGCCTGGCGCTTGTTTCGCTAGGGCAGCAGAGGCCGCGTGGGCCGCACCAAGCACAGCTCCATCAATTAGGCGATCGTGGGCCCTGCAAGTCGCTGCTGCTGGAAATTACCTTTTAATTCCTTAATTACATTGTCCTCACCTGCCGCTCAAGCCCGCCTTGCTGACTCTGGGAGCCGTAAATTAGGACGCTGATCGCTGGCCGCCCATCCTTGGCTATTTTTATCCACCTCAGAACCGCCCAGGGGCTTCTGCTGGTTTGCTTGTCTCCTCTCCCTAACAGTGAGACCTGACACTATTCCCTGCGCTCTGGGGAGCTTGACCCTGAACGACCTAGCTGTGTGACCCTGGGTAAGGGTCTATGCCTCTCAGAACCTGTTTCCCCTTTATAATGTGGAGATTTAAAAAATGGGGCTGGGTTTTTGGCTCAGTTGACAGAGTGCTGGTCTGGCATGCACTCTGGATGTGGATTAGGGGGTCCAAGGTCATCCTCCAGTTTGGGGCCAGCCTGGGCTACACCAGACAGAGCTTCTCCATTTGTTTGCACTGTAAGGCTTATTTGAACTGTTTGTAGAGTGCTTGGTCTCCAGAACTTGTCTGGGAGATTGTGATGGATCATGGGTGATTCTAGGTCATACAGAGGACAGATGAACATGCCTGGCATTCTGTGTGTGCACTGGTTATTGTTATCACCATCACCACCATCATCATCATCACCATCATCACCATCATCACCATCATCATCATCACCATCACCACCATTATCATCACCATCATCACCATCGTCACACATTACCATCATCACCATCATCATCATCATCACCATCATCGTCATCACCATCATCACCATTATCATCACCATCATCACCATTGTCACACATCACCATCATCATTACCATCATCACCATCATCACCATCACCACCATCATCATCATTACCACCATCACTACCATCACCACCATCATCATAATTACCACCATCACTACCATCATCACCATCACCATCATCACCACCATCACTACCATCATCACCATCACCACCATCACCACCATCCTATATTCATTCAGAGGGCTCCAGGATTCAGGAGACCCTTTTGGGTGCTGCAGATGGGTACATGGAAGAGGCAGATGATGCTGGAGGGATGATAAGGTAGAGGAATGGTCAGGTGGGAATGGATTTGACGCAGCGTGCAGGTGCTTCTGAGCGATCACAGACATAGTCTCAATGGATAGGAGAGTGACCTCCCAGCCCACTGGTCACTGATAGAGCTGACAGGCCCTTCCCAGAGCTCACAGTGGCTCTTGGAGATTATCAGTGGGATCAGCCTGGAGTTCCTGAGAAAATGCATGTTCTCACCTGAGACCTACAAGGCCGGAGTCTGATTTGAGACTCAGGAATTGGTGTCTGAACAAGTTCCCTGGGAGGTTCAGATGCTGGCTGAAGGCTGGAAGTCAGGGAGACACTGCTCTAACCTAGACAGAATTGCTTTGTTAATGCCTCTATTTGAGAAAAGGATCACAATCCCCTGCCCCTTTTGTTTGCACACTACAGTATGTGTGTGTGTGTGTGTGTATGGTGAGTGGTGTGGTAAGGTGTATATGAGCATGTGTCTGTATGTAGAAGCCAGAGGACAGTGGGTATCTTCCCCCAACACTCTACCTTACTTTTTGAAACAAGGTTTTTCACTGACCCTGGAACTGTTTCGGCCAACAGATGGAACTGGCTGGCTGACATGGAACTGCTGGGATCCACCTGTCTCCAATCCTCCAATGCTGGAGTTACACATGGGTGTTGGAGATTTGAACTCAGGTCTTCCTACTTGTGCAGCAAGTGCTCTTACACACTGAGCAGCTCTCAGCCCCTGTCCACCCACTCTTACTGCTGCAGTATTGATAATAGCCAAGTTACAGATTAAGTGCTGTAGTATATTAAGAAAATGTGGCACATGTGTGCATATGTATATATACATACCTACACACATAATCCATGGAGTATTATTCAGCCATGAAGAATAATGAGATTATGTCATTGCAGAAAAATGAATGGGACTGAAGATCATCACGTCAAGCAAAACCAGCCAGATTCAGAAAGACACAGAGCGTGCTTTCTCTCATAGGCAGAATCTCAAATTTACACAGGAGCTACCATCTTCCCATCTTACCTGTATTACATCTTCTTTATCCCTTCCACTCATATTTCTGTGTATTTGTTTCATTACATTTCCATACATGAAACAGATGAGCCCTTCCAAATAATTTTCGTGGCAAGTTCTGTGCTAGACACTAAGGATGCAATCCCGAGAGATACAGGCGCAAGTGGAGCCTTTAGACGTCTCTCAGACAATCTGTTTCACTCACATTCAGATACCTAGTTTGAGTGGAGAGTGGCTCACTGGCCACTTCTTGAGGAGCTCTGTTGGGAGGGGCAGTGTATCTAGAAAATAGAAAAAACTCTCCCAATTTAATGAGTCAAGTCATTGTACTCAAATTCCATGGGCATCAAGTGGTGACACACACATTTCATGGAATAGTACACAGTAACGAAAAGGAATGAGTCACTGAGAAGCATGGTAGGATGGACAAGAAAGAAGTCAGGAAGAGGGCTGGAGAAATTGCTCAGTGGTTGAGAGCACTGACTGCTTTTCCAGAGGACCTGAGTTCATTTCCCATCACCCATGTTACACAGCTCACAACCACCTGTGACTCCAGCTCCAAGGGCTCTGATGCTTTCTTCGTCCAAAGTCGTTGTCTGACCTCCTCAGGCACCTGCACACATGTAGTGCACACACACACATACACACACACACACACTTAAGAAATAGATTTTTAAAAAAGAAATAAATTTTTAAAAAAGCCAGGAAGAAAAGGTTGTTTATAAGACATGAGTCTGTTGCTGTGGAATTGTAGAAAAGATAAAGTATGGCAACAGAAAGCAGAACTTGATAGCCTGGGTTGGAAAGGGCAGGGGGGCAAGGTGGGCCTCCCAGAGGTTCCTTCTGGGTGATGGGAACTTATGCTAAGATTCCAGGCCATAGATCATGGATCAGAACTCACTGACTCTTGAACCTAGAATCTGTTATTTTACTTCGTATATCAGTTATACCCCAAGAAAGTAGTTAAGGGGCTGGAGAGATGGCTCAGCGGTTAAGAACACATACTGCTCTTCCAAAGGGCCTGGGTTGGTTCCAAGCATCCACAAGGTGGCTCATGATTGTCCATAACAACTCCAGTTCTAAAGGATCTGATGCCTTCTTCTGACCTCTGAGGGCATTGTATGACACAGGTGCACTTATACATGCAGGTAATACATTCATGCACATAAAATAAAAATAATAAAAAATAAGGGATAAAACAGTGGTCTGACATGCTCACCTCCTCTGCCTCCATGATCCCAGTCCTCAGACAGCACTCTAAGGAAATATATAAGATCTGGGCAAAAATTTATAGACAAGAATGGTCCTTGAAGATTGTATGTTATGGTGAAAAAAAGTCCAGTCGGAGGGGTGGAGGGCAAATGGCAGTTCTCACACACAATGGATGACTGTGTAAACTATTCAAATAATCCAACAGAATGGGAAACAGCCATGGTTAAACGTCTGCTGAAACAGACAACCTTGGTGGTGGTCTCACGAGGCCAGGCACCGTGGGAGATGCCCCTCTGTCAAGCCAGCTGGGCACGTTCTGTGTGTCTCTCTGCTTCCATTTCCTCATCCGTGTGCTGGAGATGCAAACGTCCGCTGTGTGAGTTGTCAGGGTGAAATAAGATGATGCCAGTGGCCAACTGAGCACTGGGCACGTGACAAGCATGTGAGCGAGACCAGCTATGCCCAAAGTCTGTGTGCGACTCTGCCTAAAATGACTTGGAGGACAAGGCAGAGACACGTCCACAGTGGCCGCCTCTTGGCTGTGGAGTACAGCTCACATTTTCCTTCTCTATATGTGTTTATGTTTTCTAAATGTTCTAGTACTTGTGGGGTCGGAATTTTAAAAAGTAGGGCTGGCGAGGTGGCTCGGCAGGTAAAGGCACTTGTCACCAAGCCTGAAGGTCTGAATTCCGTCCCTTGGATCCTTATGGAAGGAGAGAGAGCTGACTCCTGCAAGTTGTCCTCTGCCCTCCACAGTACCCTGTGGCACATCCACATACACAGAATGAATAAATTAATAAGAAAGAAACACTGGGAAGACTTCCTCTGCATTCCCCTTGTTTTTGTTTTTATAAAGGATCTTTGTAGTCCAGGCTGGCCTCTAAGTCTTTACGTAGTCAAGCTTGACCTCAAACTCCTGATCTTCTGGCCTCTACCTCCCGAGCTGGGTTTAGAGGCTTGCACCACCATGCTTGGTTTATTTGGTGCTGGAGATGGAACCAGGGCCTTGTGAATGCTAGACGAGCCCCCTCTACCCACCGAGCCACAACCTCAGCCTCTTTGTATTCTTGAAATCCAACAAACACATATGGAGACACTGAGTGTTATGTTAGGGGTTGTTGGGAGATGGGTGGGACACAAAGATGGGGCAATATGTAAGCCTTCCTTTCCAATGAGTTATAATGTAAACAGTAAAACATTGAAATAGCCAGGCATGGTGGAGCTTGCCTTTAATCCTAGCATTTGAGAGGCAGAAGCAGATGGATCTCTCTGAGACTGAGGTCAGTCTGGTCTACATAGTGAACTCCAGGTCAGCTGGGGGGGCTACAGGGAGATCTTGTTTCAATGCTCCCCTCCCCCCAAAAAGCCACACACAAACAAAACAACCAAAAAATCATAGAAATAAGGAATTCTAAGGAGGGCAAAATGAGGGATTAGATGGCAGAGGCATGAAGGACATGACTGGGGCTGTGTCCACACCACAGGAAGAAGTGTGGCCTGGGAGAGGGGGTGGGGGTGGGGAGAGAGTGTTTTGGGCTATCTCAGTTGGTGTAGGGGCTGGATGAGGTTATATTGGATGTGGGTGGTGGAGAGGACACCCAGACAGGTCTCAACTGATAGTTCAAGAACACATTCATGCTGGATGTGGTGGCGCATGCTTTTAGTCCCAGCACTTGGGAGGCAGAGGCAGGTGGATCTCTGTGAGTTCAAGGCCAGCCTAGTCTACATAGTGAGTTCCAG